GGGGGGGGGGGGCTTCTAGAAACCATAAGGCTTTTATTTAAGACCCCTAGATTCTAGATTGAAATTGATTCACTAAAAATGAAATTCGAAATCGGGTCAGGTCTGCTCGGTTTGTGAAATATATTTGTCGAATGTGTAACTATATGAGTGCGTAATATATTTTATTATATTTTTCGAATGCGCTGGTCGAATGTGTAAATTAAGGCAAATAGAAATCCAAGCACGGTTTACACAAGGGTCAGTGGAATATTAGCGCACGAAGTATTTGGGATATATTTGTCGAATATTAAAAGCAAGTTGAATGTCATCAATACCATGGGATCGGATAAAGAATATGTCGAACAGCGTTGGAAAACATCGTCCGTAGATCTTTGCATGTACTATTTGAAATTCAAACTTCACGAAAATTGTATACGCAGTCTGTAAACCTATAAGCCTTTGATGTATGCTGTCCACTGGGAAAAAAAGGGAAATCCATACTACGAAATTTGCAATTGCACCACAAAATCCATAGTATATCCATACTACTTCCATACTATATCCATACTATGGAAATATACAATTATTATGGATAACCAAAATCCATTCTATTTCCAATAAAGGTCCATACAATTTCCACTCTATGACCTTCTTTGGATTTTCAAATTTTTTTCCAGTGGTCCTTGAACAAGAACTCTTCTTGTGTTTGTGAAGTATTTTGTTTCGTATACATATAAGACCTTGTACTGTTCACATTAAAATACTTTGTAACTTCATGACTTATATCTGTTTATGCTTATAAATTATTGGAAAATGCACAGTCGTTTACGTATTTTTGTCATATCTGATCATTGTATGTGATTAAATGTGTGTATAATATTTCAACTGTGTCCAATTTACGTAATACTTTCTTTCAGTAAATTCAGAATTTGACAATAGTGCGATTAGCAAACAATGCAGGCTACCTACATGTACGCAGCAGCGTACCTATTTTTAAATTAATTGAGAATGCAAATAATGTTGTGAAAATGCGAACATTGATGTTGAAAATGTGGACATTGATGTTGAAAATACAAACATTGATGTTGAAAATGCGAACATTGATGTTGAAAATGCAAACATTGATGTTGAAAATGCGAACATGAATTTTGGCGGAGATTTGACGCCATGCTATCCGCCAAAATTCAAGTTAGTAATGAAAATACCCAAACGTTTATGTTGAAACTTGAAAATGCGAACATTGACGTTGAAAATGCGAAGAAAGATTTTAAAAATGCCAACATTGATGTTGAAAATACAAACATTGGTGTTGAAAATACAAACATTAATGTTGAAAATAGGAACATGAACTTAGGCGGAGATTTGACGCCATAGGAGAAATCCCTTACGCTAAATTTACTGAAGTGAGACCTCTGTATGGTATTTACTCTCTGTGATTCTGGTCAGTTTAGCTGAGTTGGATCCGCGATTAAGATGTTGCTTATGAATAAAGAAATATAATTAAAGCAGAAATGTCAATCAAAATGTATACGTCGTATGTATAGGTATAATATGTATATATCTATATAGTATATAGTGGGTCATGATTACAAGTTCGTGATCGGAACATAGGTGATTAAAGAGAGACTGTGGTACGAGGTCGTATTGGCAAATGATTCTGTGATTTGAACGGTGTGTTGAATCATGTTGTTGTCACATTGACTATCTTACGACATTGCAAACAATATTTCAGTTGTTTGTATGATCAAGTTAGATACTTTTGATGCATTGAAATAAGTCACGGTTATTGACTCGGAGAAATTTTTAAGATACAGAGTAGACAGAAACACTGCGACAGTAATCCAGTTTATAAGGAAATTATAATGAAGTTACAACATAAGTAACGCTCATCAACAACATTTTAGTAGCGTTAAATAATAAATATCGTTCGATTTTGTATTATACATGCTGCCTTATTTCAATGCATTAAAAATATCCATTATGTCGGCAGTTTACCTCCCACATGCATAATGATTTATCAAAGAATGTTACATAACTGTCTGTTGATCAAATAAAAAGAGTGAATTGTGCAGATCGTATAAATGTGTGTCATTCTCCTACAACAAAAAACTTTTCGATTCTGAAGAATTACATTTGAGAACACGTAAGATACTCAAACTTTTCTTGCAAGGCTGGCTGCTATGGTTATGTCACGTGGTCTTAATTGCGTCCAAACATTGTTGCAGTCTTAAAACAAGGCAAAGAAACTAATGTCTATTAGACTATAAGACAAGTTATTTTATAATACTGAAATATCTTCTAAATAAGATTATAGAACACAGTATATTCATATCAACAATCCAAAATTGTATTAACAGCACAACATTGACTTAGTGCTGGGTTTTTAGTTTGAATATGAGACGATCATAAAATATTTGTATTTGAATGAAAATCGATGTCCTGCAGGGTTATGCATGCCTGTGTTGATCTTGTGACTCTCTCAAGGTATTAATATCACGATTGTTTGGTGAATGCCTCGTCAGTTCAAGTCATGAATCAAGTGTTGTTTGTGTTCATCAAAAAGTTTACGAAACCACCATTGCTCGCAAGGATTTCTGCCTGGCCGACGATTTTGCTCTGTGAGAAAACTTACCATCCCGTGCTTGGAGAAGATCGCATTATTGAAAAACTTACAGGGGCAGGTATGCAAGTAATGTCACTGGGTTCAGATTTTACATTTGATGAAAACATTTACTTTGGAGCACATTCTGTTGTAAACGGAAAGGGAGAAATTATTGCAATCCCGCAGGGTAATTTTAACTGAATTTTTAAACCTTCAGGTGAAAGTCGTATTCTATTTGAAGCTCCAAGGGAAGATCATGCGTCAGAATGCTACGTTGTGGCGATGAATATCGATGCCGAAAATAACTTATATTTCATCACTTCATTCCTAGAAAGCGATGATGAATTATGGAGTTTTAAGTTGTTTATCTTTGATGAGAATGGAAACAAAAAACTTGAGTCTCCGTTACCTTTTCATCAAAGAAGCTCTTTTAATTTTTTTCCTTGGTGGAAAATTAAACTGAAATTGTGCATGGCAATAAACAAGGACGGAAAGATTGCCATTTTAAATTGCATGCAAGACAAAAATCCTGTATATTGGTAACATATGTGTGGAACTGAATTCGTTCAAGACCGACAAAATTCTTTCTCTCGACGAATTATATGTCGGGGGGTTATGGGAGCGCAAGCTTATTAGGGTTCTCCGATTTTAATGGAACAAAAATAATTGCCGCTGATTGCGGCACTGTTTATATCTACACAGAAGACGGGCAGGAACAACGCAAAATTAAGCTACCCGAAGGACAGGGACTTATTAAATCGGGTGCAATAAATTACGTCACAAAACATATTCTAGTTAAAACGTATCAGCCACTAGGATCTAGTCTGTTAAGTTTCTCAGACACTGGAGAATTAATAGACAGTTTATGTTTGGGATCTACCGCATGGATTAGACTTGCTTTCTTGCTGTCACCCGAATGGCCCAGTTGCTTTAATCGGCTTAACAAGAGCAGCTTTACTTCAACTGAAGTAAAATCACTTACATGAATGAAAATTTTGAAAAATGAACTGAACTTATTTTGTGAACAATTAAACTGATGCGTGGTAAAGCGCAGTGTAGCTTTGACTGTTGTTATTTTCATAGATAAAAAATAGACCTCTTATTAATTAAACACAATATATTCATTAAAAGACATGCAGTGAACTAATTAAGTTGATGAACTAAATTGACCTTCATTAATTAATTAATTATTTGTATAGTTTTGTCTTTGTAATTTTTGTGTTTAAAAATATATCGTTAATCAAACGCAATATATATATATATATATATATATATATATATATATATATATATATATATATATATATATATATATATATATATATAAATACAGCGAGATATGAAGGGACCAAGTGTGACAAAATGCGATAACAAATGATGATCCGAAGTTACTATCAGAACTTAGGCCAAGTTCAAGCAATTAAATGTTGAACTTTTCATGCACCGAACCTATTGTGAATGAGCTCAGACAACGATTATCAGTAAAAGCATTAATAATTAATATAAAGAAAATTAAAAAAAAATCAATAAGGTGCTGTATCCACATACTTCAAAATTCTACTCATTTGCATAAAACGTGTTCCCAGATTTTCTCAGTTATAATATTTTCTCTTTGGATATAAATTTCCGATAAAGAACAACTGTTGAAATCCTTATGGTTCACAAACTAAAGTAGATTCACGTCCGCGTTCTATCATACATACAGAATTTTGGGCATCTCACTCGATATAACTAATTGTGTTGAAGTGATCTACTAATTCCTCTAACAATTAGTTCTATATATCGATCAGTAAGATGCGCAAAATGCTGCTATTTCCTTATACATGCACCTTATATTGGCATCACCTTAGTATTTATACATGAAATTGTGTTGGAGCTCGACAACTATCACTCCGTAACTCAGTTGATTAGAGCGCTGCACCGGAGTCGATGAGCCGCAGTTTCAAGTCCTGCAAAAAGCTGCATGATAGTTGGATTTTTTGCCACTACTTCTGGTTAGGTCTAATAAATTTATAAACAATTCCACTCGAAATTTCCATGAATGAAAATTAATTGCCACCTGCCGAGTAAAGACCCTGGGTGTGGGCTGGTTCGGCACATGATAAGGACGACGTTTAAAAAAGGTCATAGATCAGTAAAAATTATCCGGATGATTTTGACAGAGAAATAGCACTTGAATTCGTCATATTTTTTCCAAATTTATACTGCAAGTTGGACATTGATAGTAGGTTCAGATTTCACTTCCAATATTAAAAGTCACCCACCAATTCTCCTAAATGTCCTAATATTAAGTAAATATTATAAGTTATATATACAGCAAGGCCTTCATTTTAACCGGCTTTAGATGAGATGGATCCTCCAGTAAGATATTGCTTATGAAAAAAAGCTGTCAAAAATGTGAATCAAATGATTTGAACGGTGTTGAAACATTCGTGTTGTTTTTACACGTCTCTGACGCCATTCCAAAAAAAAATTTTGTTGAACAATTAAATTGGTTAATTTAATCTCAGTTAACCAATGCAACTACTATAATACTTGGATGTAATTAGCCCCCTTTTCTCATGCAGGCGAACAATATCCCCCCAGCCGTCGTCATTTGATGAGTTAGTCGGAAGGAGAAGTGGGGGGCCAGGCAATGATCAGGAAAAATATGACTGTGGTTTTGGGAGTGATTGTATAAATTTTCAACTAAATTTGCTTGATTGCACACAAGATTATTGTACGAGGTCAAGCCTAGCAATAGCTTGCCTTATAGACATCCTTATGGCTCCAACCGTTGCCATAAGTATGTGAGTGAGCCACACCAAGTGCCAAATTAAGAGGTCGTCCAGATTTGACATTCCACTAGATCACAGCTACCTCTCAATAGTTCGGTATATGTCTGTTGGTCAAGGTGTAGATTCAGCTGTTATTGGCTTATTTCTAGTGAAATTCCAGTTTACAAGAACTTTATGGAATCACATTCTCAGCATAAGTTTGATGTTATTATAAATTATTAAGTCAAATGGCACTCGTGAATCAGATTGCGTGATTTTGTATGGAGTGGCATTAAGCATGCACTTAACTGATATGACTTGAATACATTGACATTTGGATACTGCTTCAATATACAGGGTGTATAAAAAAAAACTGAACAGATTTGAAATTGCTCTCAATTTTGCAAAATACCTATTTGTGTCTGGTTTTTTATATATATAGCTTCTTTGGGTACTTATAATGTAAAATATTGAAAATAAATTCTCGATCTCAAATTTTGTGAACCAGGGGGGTGTGTCTTTTCGAACAAACTAAAAATGGCTCGCGCACAAAATTTAAAAACTGTAATCATATTTTGAGTCAATAGATTGAAAATTTGTCGGGTTTTTAATTACTGTACAAAATTTCATACAATTTGGTTTAGTTTAAGCCCTTTAACTATTCATTTTGTTCTAAAAAGTCAGCCTTTCGCATGCTTAATTAATGCCTTTACCTAATTTGCATATTGCTGACATATGCAAATTAGGCAAATGCATTAATTAAGCATGCAAATAGCTGATTTTTCGGGAAAATTGTAACTTTGCGTGAATAGTTAAGGGACTTAAACTAAACCAAATTGTCTGAAATTTTGTGCAGTAATTAAAATCCCGACAAATGTTTCATCTGTTAACTCAAAATATGATTGCAGCTTTTAAATTTTGTGCGCGAGCCATTTTTAGTTTGTTGGAAAAGACACACCCCCTTGGTTCACAAAATTTAAGCCGGTTCGAGAAATTTTTTTCATTATTTTACATTATAAGTACCCAAAGAAGCTATATATATAAAAAAACAGCTACAAATAGCTGTTTTGCGAAATTGAGAGCAATTTTAAATCAGTTCAGTTTTTTTTGATACACCCTGTATAGGTATTACTATGCCTAGCTGCATGGGTCTAGGCTGGTTCGGCACATAATAAGAGCGAATTTTAAACTAGGTCTTAGATAAAATGATCATGATGTTTTGACAGTGAACATAGTTTACCAAGATACGATGATGGTCTGGAAACTAAACAGAATTCATTGAGTCATGTTTTTGTCTGAGTTTATGTTAATTTGTACACGGTCACGGTGGTTGAGCTCATTGTGTTTTCGTATAATGAGGCAATCGTCCAATACAGATAGCGGAGATGAAATATTTGAGACTTAACAAATATAAAACATTTTCCGTGTTGATATATAGTTATATCAACACGAGTGGAAATTGGGAAAACGAGAAATTGTGTGGAAACACGACGCCCGAAGGGCGGAGTGTTTTCACACAATTTCGAGTTTTCCCAACTTCCACGAGTGTTGATATAACTATATATCAATACGGAAAAAAATGTTTTATATTTGTTTTATAATATAGCAATGTCAAAAGCCCGAAGAATAAGAAAAATTTCCGTGTTACAAGCGGCGGAAAATTTCCCGTGTTGACATGGAGTTATATCAACACGGCTCTTAGCCAATCAGCGTTCAGAATTTACAAATGCTATATTATAAAAAGGATTTGTGCACGGTGAGGTACAGTTCAACATCATGCAAACAAAGCCAAAGATTTTCTATTTTGTACCTTTGAAGTTTGCCGGTCTTCCAGACCATCATATCTTGACAGACTACGCAGTGAAGTAGCACTTGAACTCGTTTCTCGAAACAGCACGTTATGTTATAACTATAACTGAATTAATTGAGCTACATTTTATTCCAAATTTACTGCAATTTGGATACAGATATAAAGGTTCAGATTTCACTGCGGCTATATAGCTCTCACAGGCTTAATACGCATTTGATTGGTTAATTGGGTAAATTAAACACATCTGACTCAGTTCCGAAATATCACATACTCGAACCGACCTGACTGCGTAGTAGCTGAGTTGGCAGAGCATTGGGCTAGTATTCCAAAGGTCGTAGGTTCGATTCCCACCGTGGCCAGGCATATTTTTCAAGCTTGCCCGGTGTGGATATACACTCAGAGTAACATCACAAACATTAAACGCATCTGATTGGTTAATGTTAGCGGAAGTCAAACTCCGAACCTCTCCAATATTAAAATTCACTCGCAAATTTTTCTAATATCAACTAAGTGTGATAATTTATATACAGCTAGGCCTCCATTCTAGCACAGAGTGCTAACCACACACAGGTCTTACTTCGAGAGAAAAACGTAAGGCAGTTTTTACTGCGCATATCTGACGACCACGTCAGTTCAAAATGTATACGTCGTGTATAGGTATAATATGTGTAGATCTATATAGTGGGTCTTGATTACAAGTACGTCATGATAGAATATACGTGATTAGTAAAGAAAGACAGTGGTACGAGGTTCAATTGGCAAATGATTCTGTATTTGAATTTTTTTGAATTTTATTTGATTTAGCACCACATTACATAAAGATTACAACACAACAAATATACAAAAAAATTAGAAATTTAACACGTTGCTGACAAGGAAGCCCAAAACGCAGTGGCGGCG